ACGGCGCCTTCGTTGCATTGCAGGATGATCTCTCCAGGCTGGGAGTGGAGGTCAGAGTCAGGGAATGGGAGAGAAACTCCCAGCCAGAAGGAACAGATGATAATTTGGACTGCAGAAGAAGACAGGATGATGGAGTTGGCCAAGCTCTTCCCCAGCCATCTCTTCACCCGATTTCCTGGTTTTGTGGCCAGGAAAGCCAGCACCACTGTGATGGTTTTGGCCAAGAGAGAAGAAACAGCAACTGAGAAAATGATGCTGAAAACCGTTTGTCGGAGAAAGCAGGTGGCTGTCCTTGGTTGACCAATGAAGAGAAAAGGAGACAAGAAGCAAAGCAAGAGGGAGACCAGGAGGATGTAGGAGAGGTCCCGGTTGTTGGCTTTGACAAGGGGAGTTTCCCTGTATTTAATGAAGATGAATAAAACAAGGCCTGACTTTAGGAACAAAAATACAGCAAAAGAGACCAGGATGATGCCCAGAAGTTCTTCATAAGACAGAAAGGTTATAACTTTGGGGATACATTGGACTCGCTCCTCATTTGGATACTTATCATCCGGACACTTGGTGCATTTTCCTGTATCTGAGAAAGCCAAAAAGCATTTTTCTTTAATATTCTGGTTTTTCTTTTACATTTCAAGAAATACCTTTTTTGGAACATGCCTAATTCCAAGGACATTTTGTTGCTTAACCATTCCACAGGAGGGAAAAGATAATATAATTTTCTAATAGCTTTATAGCTAAGGTATATAATATTGGATGATTTCTAGTACATTTTGAATAAACACACAAAAAAAGAGCTGAGCTTCAATGCAATGTTTTAATTTCCACTTTCTTCAAAATGGTCTGGATAAATCCATTTCCACCAGGCCTTCCTTTCCTCTGGTGTGGAATGGGACCTTCAGGCTCCCACCCTTGGCTGTGCCTCCTTCTCCTCCAGGCTCCCGCTTCCACGCAGAGGGGCAGAGGTCCATTGGCCAGGCTGAATGCCTAGGAGAGGGCCAACAGAGGAGGAAAACTGGAGGTAAATGAGGGAGCCTGGAGGAGAAGGAGGCCAAGGGTAGGCGTCTGAAAGTTGTAGAGACCCCTCTGGTGTCACCCACCTTTCCGAGTGGAGAAGGTCCCCTCCGGACAAGGAACACAATCGTAGCAGCAAAATGGCTCTCCTTCTCGAGCCCTCTTGACAAATCCAGGCTGACAATTTTCCACACATTTGGACTGAGGCAGAGGCTAAGGAGAAGAAAAGGAATGCCAAAGGAAAGTTATTAGGACCCTCTGTCTATGGAAAATGGGGGTAGGCGTGGATATTAGACAAGTACATTCTGGGCTTTATGTAGGTAAATATGAAATCTCTGACTCCTTCCAAACACGTGTGTCAGCACCTCTCCATTTAATAATTAGGAAAGAAANTTGGCAAAGCAGTTTGAATGAAATGTACTGAGAAATGAGGGCATCAACATTCCTCCCTACATTCCATCTATATTTCTATATGTCTTGCTAATATGCCTCCATTTCTCCAAGAAATTTGTCTCCTCGCAATCTTCTTTTAATTCTCTGGATGAGAAAAGAACAAAATAAAATGAGAATTTATTAGAGGTACACACCTAAACAACAACCCCAAACTGAAATCCTGGACAGCTGTTGTGAACAACAGCTCCTGTACACTGTGTTTAATTGGTAGATGAAGAAGGAACCATGTAATAGTAATGAATATTTGTCTCCCCAGTGGAGTACCTGGAGGCCACCAGCCTGCTGGTTTGGTGGGAGGGTGTAATAATTGGGATGAGAGCTGCATTATTTGTGTAAAGAGAATGAACCTGAAAGATTCCATTTTGAATAAATACATATCTATTTTGCTTGATCAGGCTGGACAAATGCTGCTTGTAACAGCATCCCATGTTTTGCTGACAGCCTGGGTCACTCTGACCCAGCAGGGAATAGCCCAGATGGGAACTTGGAAGTCCCCTTTGATACGGATATGTTTTTGGTATCGTCGGTAATTATCTTGTTATTGTCTAAAGTGTGAGAACAGAGGAAATGAGGAATTTTTCATAAAGTTTAAAATATCATTTGTTCTTGACACGCAGGTAACAAGAAAATTTCTCACAGAAGAACACGGGAAATTTATTTTTGGGCTGCAGCTTAATTTTGCCAACTTTTGTCAATATTGTCAACTATCGATCACACCAAGTACATTTATGTAATTGTATTATGACGCACTTTAATGATACCCATGGGACTTCAACTTGTGTATTTAAGTCTGACCTGTTGTATTGCCCAGGATTCTCTCTGAGAATCCTGTCATGCGCATGAGAGTTATCAATAAGACTTCTTATTGATTAATAAACCTTTTTGTTGCCTATAATCCCCTTGTTTGGTTTTTCTTAAGTATATATAAAATATATCAGGGATATTGTTCTCACAGAGGGACAATGGTCCCCGTAGAGATAATCATACACCATAGTTGGGTCTTCCCTCCCATGGCTCCCATCTTACTTCTTTTCCTGCTCACTTGTGCACACAGAGACACATTTAGATGGTGTCAGCAGGAACAATTGCTCAAAGGATTCCTTAAAAGGTATAATGTTTATTGGCAGTTGCTGAATATTAAATTCCTCTGAATGACTTTC